TATATCAGTACCATAGAATTCCACTTCAATTTATCAATCTTAGTAACTAAGCTGTATTTCAGTCTAAAAAAATATGAAATTTTGAGCAGACTAGAGACACAACCGACCTTATTGAAATAGTTGTTCAAAAGAAAGAGATGGCATCCAAACTCATTAAAATGGCTGAGAAAGTAACTAGGGGACATTCTGAGCTTTGGATAGGTTATTCATGTCGTACATAGAAGTGCATATAAAGGACTGTTTCCAAAAATGGAAAGAGGTGGGCAGGGGGCCACTGCGTTTGATTTATTACATGAGCAATATCTTGCCAAATTGAAAAGATAAGAGGCTTTTATTTTATATTCTAGCTTGTCAATATCAGTAGTTTGAGTTACTAATTTGTACAAACTTAGTATTTTGACATCACAAACATCTCATTTGAACCAGTACTGCATTCAACATACCACGTGACACACAAAAATTGATGTTTAACTGTGTTTTTTTAATATTTACTTTTAAATTGGGTAATTGAATTATAATCTACAGTTCAATAAAGTTTTGAATGCGAGTCAACAAACGTACATGGTCTTTCACCCGTGACCCATCTGGAAAGGGTTAATGCTGACTGACCTTGCACAGTGACATATCCATAATTCCTTAAAGGGAGCGGGGTATCTAAGTCAGTTTGTCAAACCTCCTGGCTTAATAGCATGCAAATAATAATTGTACATGACCAAGTAGGTTTCAGGGGGCATATTAAAAGAAATATTACAAGAAATTTGAAAAAATTGATCACTGTTTTTCACAGGACAATTAACTTTAAAGTTGCATTTTAATGGGAATTTGATAATGAAAGTTAAAACTTGAGACTACTGTTTAGTGTTGTCAAATGGAAAAATAAGAAAATGGTGGGGTTTGGGTGTATATTTCTTGAGAACCAGAAAGTCCCCTGGATATACTAATGTTACAGTAAGTAACTTTGAAACAGTACATTGTATTTCCTTTAACTGAATAAATCAGCCAAGGGATCAATGTTTATTCTCATATAGTGTTATGGTGGCTGTAATAATTTTATCACATCATCTTCTATGTTTGTTCTGTGTAAATTAAATCTTTTACTTGTAGTGTATCTTTTAGTACAAGTAGTTGTCTCCAGTCATTTTTGATATCTTGCTACTGTGTAGGACTTCTTAAAACTACCATGATCATTAATTTTATCATTGTCAACATATTTTTAGTTTTTCTTACTATTTTAAACTAAACTACTTCCTTATTTGTTGAAAACCCACTAGCACTGTCTGAATTAAATCTTTTACTTGTAGTGGATCTTTTAGTACAAGTAGTTGTCTCCAGCCATTTTTGATATCTTGCTACTGTGTAGGACTTCTTAAAACTACCATGATCATTAATTTTATCATTGTCAACATATTTTTAGTTTTTCTTACTATTTTAAACTAAACTATGTCCTTATTTGCTGAAAACCCACTAGCACTGTCTGAATTCGTACTAGTAATGTTTATTTTTCATTTCTGTTTTTTCACTGTTCTTCTTCACATATTTTTCAATGAAGCCTTTGTTTTTCTTTGTCTTTTTTACTTTCCTCGCTGCTTTTCACTTACTGTACTTGGCACTAGACAGATGTCTACCATCCAATATTTTGTGATAAAACATTGATAAATACAGTAGAGTTATCAAAACAGTAACTAAAAAATGGTGTTTTTCTATCTGTCTGTGGTGCACTCAGTGACGGAAAACTTTCATTTACATTCTTCACAGTTATTTTTACAGTAGGCATTAAGATTTCATGGAATCATCTAGATTGAGAGTCTTCTGGTAAGGAAAGAACTGTATTCAGATTCATTTCTGCACTACTCATCTTACAGGTATCTCATACTCTTTCATGATGTTTAAACTGGAACTTGCTACAACAATAACAAATCTCTGACAACAGCTGAGGATTTGATAAACATTGACATATTGAAATTTAATACAGTGTCTCCATACTGACTTCATATTCTTAACATTGCAGATGCTGCTGTGTTTCATTTCTATCACCATTCTTCTCCTCATTGTAAGCCATTATTTCTTTTATCTTATTCTCTCTTATGCTTTCCTATCTATTTGTTTCTTTTTAAATTTTGTTCGAAGACTAATTTATTGTTTTTAACAATTCCTTATTAGTACGTTTTTTATTGCCACTCCTAAATTTTGCTAGCCTAGGCAAGAGCCGACTTTGCCTACCCATTAAGGCCAGGTGTGAGTGTTATTAAAATACTACTTTGGTGCAAGCAGAAGGTGAAACTGGTGTAAGGTATATTAGTTTCCAGAAAGAAGACTTAACATGTAGGTGAGATGTGATCAATTATTTAAACATGATATTAATCCTTGTGTACTGATGAGTCAAACTATGGATGCCACAACCTTTCTACAGAGTTAATTTCAAAATTAATTTGCTGAGATATAAATAAAGTTTTCTAACTTATAAACCAGGCTCCTCCCATAACTGTTCATAACTTTAGTGTATTTTATAATCCACATTGTATTAAATACACGTTTATAACCAATAGAAAAAGCAAAATTTAATGTTCCACCCCTTTTTTGTTCCTTTGTTTATATTTTGTCATTCATAGTTGGCATTTTCCAAGAAAATGTTGTGTTGAATGATACAATGCTATGAGCAGTAATGGAATATTTTAATTATTTATAGCTCAGTTAGAATCCCAGATACATCATAGTGTTTTTATGGCATTCTGTTTTAGTGACTTGTATCTTTTATGTTCTACGAAGATGTATATTTGAAAGCTGAATTAGTTTGTGTATAACCAACAGAGTGTGAGAAAAAGTAGTATTATCAAAATATGTTTCCAAGTACAAATAGGCTTATAGCTAAGGTGGGTGCTAAATTTCTTATCTATGTTTATTTAAACAGAAGTAACTAAAATGTAAAAATTAAACATCTTAGTTTAGATAAGAAAACTTAAATAAAAACATTTCTCATAATCACTCCTGGCAAAACACATGTTATGATGTTGCATGATGTAACCTGATAATTTGTTTACCCTAATCTCTCCGCTCTCCTGCTTAGAGATTTATTGCTTAGTGTGGTTTAAGGTACAGTAATAAAACCATAGAATTAAAAAAAAAGCAGATATAAAAAGGTTAGAAACCAAAGATAAATAATTGTAATTATTTATTACAATTTGCAGTCATTCTAAAAAATATAAAGTATTTCTGATTTTATTTCATGTTTTTCAAATTTTAGTTTCACTATACAGTTCACTGATTTCTAATGAATATTTTTAATGAATAAAGTATTTTCGAAGAATAAATGGCTCATTTCATAATACCCCCAAGCCACACACCCAGCCACCACCCTCTCTTTTTCTCTCTCATGCACACACACCGTGTTTTTCCTTCAGAATTATGATACATTACCACCCATTATAAACATGTATTTGTATTGAACTCTCCAACCACAGATTATTGACCGTGGAGTTAGCAATGATTTTTTTACAATCCAGTGTTGTTCTACTTAGCACCGAGGTTACACTGGCTGGGAAGAATTCATTGTTGAAAACTTGGTTCCATTTAGTCTGTTCGTCCTGTTTGAAGCTGCTGAAATAA